CTGGTTACATTCACCACTTGAGTGTCCTTTCCAGATGACTGCATTTCAGGTGTGTCACAGACTAAGGAGTGAAAGGCTGGCACCAGGACTAGTGACATTCTTGTAAAACTCACTTTGTCGTAACAAGCTCCATTCTCCAAAGAGGGAATGTTCGCTCTTTCTTTCTTTCTTTCTTTCTTTCTTTCTTTCTTTCTTTCTTTCTTTCTTTCTTTCTTTCTTTCTTTCTTTCTTTCTTTCTTTCCTGGGGCTCATTCTGTAGCCCTGGTTGGTCTGGAACTCGCTATATAGACTAGGCTGGACGTGAACTCACAGAGATCCTCTTCCCTCTGCCTCCCAAGTACTGGGATTAAAGGCATGTATGCTGCTATGCCCAGTTTTCTTTTCTTTACTTAGTAGTAAACGTATCTGTACATTATTTTTCAAAGGACCTTAAGATAGGAAAATTTGTATATCACATTAATTTCTTGAGATTGGATAGGACAAAGATCTATTTAACAGAAAAGTAAATCTTACAAGGGTTTCCTAGGATTTTGCAACAATAAGTAGGCAAGCCTAAATTTGCACTGGATCCTAGCCCCAAATTTCGTATTTCTATAAAGAGAAATCCTATATATACTTTCTGTAAAGAGAAACTCGAATCATCTGCAGAAATATTTTTTAAAGGAAAGAATGATTAAAATATAAGAAACATAAGAAAAATTTCCCCTTCCTGGTGTTGCTGGGTGGCTTTTGTGACACTGGAATTTTTGTCATTCACAACTGATGTTTTCCTAGTGTTTGTTGGTAGCACATCAGTGACAGTCAGGGTGGACAGACCTCTGTGTTATGTATTTATTTGCTCCTGGTCTATGTTACTGTGGCCTGCACTAGGGTAACTCGGGTGACCATTGGCTAAAGAGTTTGACTAGAGTTTGTTTTATTCTTTTAAAGATTTATTTATTTTATATGAGTACATTGTAGCTGTCTTCAGACACACCAGAAGAGAGCATCAGATCCCATTACAGATGGTCGTGAGCCACCATGTGGTTGCTGGGAATTGAACTCAGGACCTCTGGAAGAGCAACCAGTGCCATCTCTCCAGACCCTTGACTAGAGTTTTAAGGATGATGATGCAAATAACCCATGTGCAATAAAACCCCAGCCCTGAATGTTCCGGGAGCTGTGTTGTCGGTTCTATCAATCACCTCTGTGACCACTGTCCCTACCATGCTGTGGTCTTCTGTCACTCCTGAGAAGCTCCTAGTGTCTCTTTGATCCCTATGCCTCAGATTCTGTTTTCTTTCATCCAGGCTGATTTTTATCTCATGAACTTCATGCAAGTGCAATCACAGCATCTCTTTCATTCGACGTCTTGGCTTTGATCTTTGTTCAGTTGTTTTTTGCATCCATAGTGCCTTCCCTCCCGTTGCTCAAACATTCCACTGCTGTTTAAGTAAACTGCTAAATATTCATTTTGTTCCATTTTTTAAATGAAAATTAAAGCTTTTAGATCTTAGAATGCCTGAGAATCTCAGTTTACATTTGTTTTTGTTTTTTGTTTGTTTGTTTGAGACAGGGTCTCATTATGTAGCTCTGGCTGTCCTGGAAGTTACTATGTAGACCCAACTGGCCTCAAACTCACAGAGATCTGCCTGCCTCTGCCTCTCAAATGCTGGGATTAAAGACATGTACCTCTATGCCTGGCTGCGGTTTAGATTTTTAAAAACTGCACAGAGGACCCTAAACTGCCTTGCCTCTGTTATTAGCATCTAACTACAGTAAGACACAAATGTCACAAGCTAGAATCAGCAGGGATACTGTATTGTCAAAGACCCCACTCTTCAGATTTTGTAGGTTAGTCTCTGCTCTGCCTCTGTCTGGGATCCCATCCAGTGGGCCACATCACACAGCTGCCGGGTCTCCGATGCTCCCTCCTCCTGACTGAGGCAGCTTCTCAGGGATCCCTTGGTCCCTTGGATGATATTGAGAGATTTGAGGGATGCTTATTTTGTATAAGATTGAAATTGTACTCAGGATCAGATGATAGAGGTTATTTTGAGTTGGGGGGGTGGAGGAGGAGGGAGAAAATAGGGGCAGGGTGGGGTGGGTCACAGTTACAAAGTACTATTTCCAGTTGACCTTATCAGGATCCCACGCTGCTGACAAGATGTCGCCTGGTGGATAGAGTGTTTGTTGGTTTCTCTGATGGGAAGTGACTTGCCTCCTGCTTGAGTGCTGTATGCTTTTGGAAAAAAGTCACTCTGGGCAGTTCACAGGGAGTAGAGACAGGAGGGTGAAGTATCTTCATGAATTATTGGGGACACTTCTACATAGGAGACTTGTATTTAGTTTTTATGAAACTGAATTTTTTTTCTAAAGTGATGGGACTATTTTTTTGTTCACATAACAATGTCTACATGTTCCTTACCTTCAGTGACACTTGGCATTGTCAGCTTTGAAAATTTAACCATTTAAGATGTGTGGGGTGGTATGTCATTGTGGTTTAACTTCTGCTCATGATGACTAACAATGTTGAATACCTTTTCATGTCTGTCTGTCTGTCTGTCTGTCTGTCTCTCTCTCGTGCGTGTGTGTGTGTGTGTGTGTAATTTTTGTGTGGATCTTTTGCCTATATTCTTATTGGATTGTCTTTTCATCACTGATGAAAATATTTTTTTCTATGATCTATCATAAAAATGTATACTATGGGGCTGGACACATAGCTCAACTGGTAAAGTGTTGGGGATTGTCTCTAAGGCTTTGTCTTATTTTGGCTCTTCCAAAAACCCTACTTCCAGATCTGAGGGTTCCAGTCCCCAGCTGGCTTTGATTGATAATAAAGAATTGCCATACAGCCAATGGCTGGGCAGAAAGACAGAGGTGGGACTTTTAGATTGTGAGGGCCAAGGGCCTGGAGAAAGGGGAGAGGAAGAGAATTTCCATGATGGGGAAGGAAAAAGATGAAATTTAAAGGCCCACTGGCATGTAAGAATCTAGAAAAGTAGCCCTAGAGGCTACTTCCCTGGCTGGGTCTGGGGTAGCAGAGATGAAACACAGATTTTTAAAAGATATTAATTCAAGAATACTGGAGGGAGGGTGTGTTTGTTAGCCATGAGGAGGTTTAGAAATGCCCAACCATTGAACTAGTCAAGGCACACCAAAATTAGCTGGTGCTTTGTGTGTGGGTGTGGGTGTATGTGTTTCATTCTCAAACCCAGAGAGCTCTTGGGCAGGTGCTTGTGTGTGTGCGTGCGCGTGCGCGTGCGCGTGCATGTGTGTGACCTGCTGGGAGCCAAAGCAGTTTAACTAATTCACTGCTACAGTAAAGTGCTCACACTGCAAGCATGAGACCTGAGTTAAAGCCCCAAAACCCATGTTTAAAAAAAAGAAAAGAAAGGAAAACTAGGCATGGTGTTGTACTGCAATTCCAGCTATGAAGAAGCAGAGATAGGCCAGTTATAAAGATTAGTGATTATGCTGGTGGGCATATGGGCCATAACCACATTTTCTTCCCCAAGGTATCGTACCTTGAAATAAAAGAAAGTTTCCAGAGCCAAATTTAAGTCTTTCCTGTAGTCACACTGGTTATGTTGGTAGGCCTGAAGACTGCAGGCACATTACAGCTCTTCAAATAGCAACTAGCAGTGTAGAGAAGGCCATGTGGGGAGATTGCATTACACCCTTGGACGGTTCTGCATCCTTCTTTTCCCGGCAAGCATTGGTATGAATGGTACAGTGCAAAGGGCATGTGTTGTATGCTGCTCACATCAGTGGGGATGCCAGCTTTTGACAGTCACAACAACTGCTGCTGCTGTAGGATTTTCCAATGATTGGACAGAGACATGTGCAAAGCAACAGTGAAAGGAAAGAAGCCAAGTCCTATTGCAGAGGAAAAAAGACATACACATACACACACACACTCCCTCTCTTCTTCCCTCCCTCCCTCTCTCCCTCCCTCCCCCGGGAGTGGCATCATGTGTCAGTAAGGAATGGGTCTAGGGAACTCTTGCCAGCCTGACTTGAAGTAAGAACAAAAGTTAAGGAAGATGTTTTTGGTATATTGAAGTTTACATGTGAACTAATTTGCCAGCCGGCTCTGACATTATCAGCTATCCAAATTGATGACTGGTTTTAATACTGATAACTATAGAATAATGTTTTATATTTGCTTTTGCTTTTGATAAGGTCTTGTTTTTGTAATAATCAGTTCTCAAGTTGAAAGACATGTTTAATCTCTAACTGAACAAAGCAAACACCGAGTTCCTGGTTGGCTTCAGGCAGTCCTTAATTATTTGAAGAGATGCTCTTTTTTAACTTTGGAAAAAAGTTCATGGAAGATTATTGAACAGTTTTTAGAACCTAAAATGTTTTGGCTTGAAACAAGAGCCTCCTCCCCTTACTTTAATTTGTAATTTTGATTTCTGGGTTTTGATGACCCAGCTCTTGTCCTTCTGTGGTCCACTTAGACCCCGGGCTCTACAGCTGCCTGCTTGCAGTTACTGATCTGGTAAACTCAGGCAGAAGCTGACTGGCCCAAGGAGGAAATAGCTGGAGGCTAGTGTAAGATACAGATAAAAGATCAAAGAAGAAGAAATATTTGCAGAGAGAAAGAAAACAGGGACCTAGAGAGTTCATGACACTTAGAAATATGAAAAAAATGTAAAAATAAGACTTAACTTTGTTTCCTTTTTTGAAAAGGTTCATTTGTTTATTATATATGCAGTGTTCTCCCTGCATGTATGCCTGTATACCAAAAGAGGACACCAGATCTCATGATAGGTGATTATGAGCTACCATGGGGTTGCTGGGAGTTGAACTCAGGACCTCTGGGAGAATAGCCAGTCCTCTTAACCTCTGAGCCATCTCTCCAGCCCCTACTTTGTTCCTTAAAGTTTTCACTTTTTTTTTGTTTTTTACTTTTCCCTTAAAGTTTCCTCCTGGAAGATAATGTCTGGCTTAAATGTATATATTTAACACGAATCTGCACACGAAGCCGTCTGCACGGTCGGCTCCTTTCTAAGCACCCATTCTCTCGTTGCAGGTAAATCTCTTTGTGCTGCTCTCCGTGGTTTGCATCCTCTTAAATCTCGCAGGGTTCATCCTAGGCTGTCAAGGAGCCCAGTTTGTGTCCAGCGTGCCCAGATGTGATCTGGTAAGTTTCCTGTCATCTTACTATTCTGCCAGGGGCACAAGCTGCCCTAACCTAAATAAGCCAAGAGAAGGTGTTGCTTCCTCAGTTGTCGGTCGTTTGGCCAGAGTAGCAAGTAGCCAATACCGTATCAGCACCAGAGCAGCCCCTGGTTAGGGGATGGATGGGTCAGGTCTCCATGATCAATGGATGGGCCTGTCTGCTTCTAAAGAGCAAACAATCCAGGTCACCAGAATCTAGGTCAAAGATCCTTTATCTAAAGGCTTTGGAGGCCAGGTATGTGTTAGCATTGGGAGATTTTCTGATTTTGGAAGAGAAATATAATACATTGATCATCTATTATATAGCAAGCCAGTGGCGTCTGGGACAGGAAGCTGTAATCAAGAGCTTTTTGGATCTCACACTGGTGGACAAGAGGCTGTAAACTTACAGAATTTCTGACTTAAACCAGGTTTTATAGAGCCAGCATGGTGGCATAGGCCTTTAATCTCAATACTCAGGAGGCAGTGGCAGGCAGATGATCTCTGTGAGTTCAAGACCAGCCTGGTCTACATAGTGAGTTCCAGGGCAATGTGGAGAGGCCTGGTCTCAAACAAAAACAAAGAAACAAAAAAATGAAACAAAACAAAAAGCCCAGCCCAAATAAATAATTTTTATAAATTGTGGCAAAGTGCTCATAAAAGAGTCCATTTTGAGCATTTTCTGTGTATGGATCAGTAGTGTTCAGCAGTGTACATTTACACTGCTGTGCGAAGAGTCTCTGGAGGTCCTCATGTCTCTCCATCACCCTCTCCCCCAGCTACTAAGCATTCCACCATCTATTTCATCAATTCAAATACTCCAGACAGGTCCATACAAACAGAATCACACAGTTTTTGTCTTTCTGGGGGAAGGGGGCTGTCCTTGAGGTATAGCCGCAGTATAGTCTGTGTCAGAATTCCTTTTCTCTTTTTAAATTTTAAAAAATGTATTTATTTTTATTTTATATACATTGGTGTTCAGACTGCATGTATGTGTGTGTGAGAGTGTTGTATCCCCTGGAACAGGAGTTACAGACAGTTGTGAACTGCCATGTGAGTCCTCTGGAAGAGCAGCCAGTGCTCTCAACTGCAGAGCCATCTCTCCAGCCCCTGAATTCTCTTTGTTTTAAAGGCTGACTCATAATACTCCACTGTCTGTGTCTGTGACACACTTTGTCTACTCATCTATAGATGGGTCCCTGAGTTGTTGCCACCTTCTAAGCCTGTTGTGTATAAGGCTGGTGTGACCAGGAGTGCACAAATGTCCCTTCCAAGCCTGGCTGTCAGTTCCTTTGTGTATTCCCGTGTATCTAAACCTTTAAAAAAAAAAAGACTTCTAGTGATAAACATCTCAGTTAGCACAAAGCAGCAAGTGTAGACTCTTAACAAGTTATAGTAAGTCTTATTTATTTGGAATTTTGTCCAGTGTAGTCTACCTATAGAAACTAAGAGGATGTGAACCAAGAAGGCTGACTTATTACTAGAAAACCTGTGGTCAGTCCTTGTGGAGAAACCTATAACCTTCCCAATCAGAAAAGTCCCCAGGAACTCACAAAACCTGCTGTGGTTTCTCATGTTCTTCACAAATCTTAAAACAAGCATTAAAGCCTTTTGTTCAAGTGATAGTGTTGAGCACTAGCTAGCCACTTGATATGACATGAGTGTCTTCAGATGAAAGAGAAAATATATGTTTAATATAATGAAAGAAGCATGATGGTGGTCAGTCTGGAAAGAAAGCTGATGAAGTCCCTTCACTTATGAGGTTTCTTAGTACAAAAGAGCCTTGTATTTGTTGGGGTTTCTATTGCTGTGATAAAAACACCATGACAAAGGCAACTTGTAATAGACAGAGTTTAATTGGGTTTATGGTTTCAGAGGGTTAGAGTCCATGGTGCTGGAGGAAAGGCATAGTGTTAGGAACAGCTGAGAGCGCTCATCATGATCCACAAGTAGTAGACAAAGGGGGAGACGGAGCACTAACTGGGAATGCAATGGGCGTTTGAGACCTAAAGCCCACGTGACATGCCTCCTTCAACTAGGCTACACCTTCTAATCCTTCCAAACAATTCTACCAGCTAGGGTTCCAAACGATTCTCCCAGCTGGGGACCAGGTATTTAAATGCATGCTATTGGAGCCACTCTCATTCATAGCCTCAAGGCTGTGATGGGCCTGAAGGTAGGAGGGAGATCATTAGCCAGATGGTTGTACAAAATACCAAGAAGGGACAATGGCAGGGACCTTAAAAGGACATGAAGCTTCCTTTTCAAACCCTGAGAGGGGCATCATTAGGAATGAAAAATAAGAGAGAGTAATGAAAATGAGGGAGGGAGAGAGGGAGGGAGGGAGGGAAAGAGAGAAAGAGAGAGAGAGAGAGAGAGAGAGAGAGAATATATTACTGCCATTAGCGGGATTAGGACGAGGGCAGGGGGAGGCCAGAGCAGGAGGGGTGTGGTGAGGGTAGGGGCAGAAGAGGAGCCTCCTTAGGGAGTAGCCTTCAGAACACTTCCATGATAAAAATGGCTGAGATGTCTCCAGCCCAATCTCCAGAACAAAGGAAAAAATATAACTTTATAACCTTTTAGAAGGTAGCAGGAAGTTTTACATCCTATGGTTTAGTTCAACATAGTATACATGGCAAAGGGCATGGAGGGTGAGGTGTCATAAACCGAGCTCTGACAAGTCTTAGCACAGACTGTTTCTTAACACTGTCCTGAAGGGAGCCGAAGGGATGCATGTCCCGATCCAGATCCAATCTGGCCTAAAGGTACAGGCTAGTGTTCTGACAGAGAGATAGCATACTTTCATTTCTCTTGGGCAAATATTACTGAATTATGTGATAAAGACATTCAACTTTATAAGAAGCTCCTTCATACACAATTTTCCTTTGTAGCTGGTCAAAATAAATAGTTTAAATTATTGATTGATTGAGATTGAAAGGCCCCCTGGGGAGGGGACACCCCCACTCAAGCCACGAGAACTCACGATCACTCAAAAGACTCAGAGACACCGATCTTGATGTAACAGCAAGAGATATATTTCAGTCAGCGCTCTGAGGCCGAGACCCTATATCCCACGCAGGGGCAGAGGAGCTCGACCTCCAGCTCGGGGAGAGTAGGGTATTTAAAGGAAAAAAACCACAACCCAGGGGGAGTGGGAAGGGGTAACTGTGGAAAGTGCCAGAGTTGAGGGAACAATCATGGGGATAGTGCCAGCCCATTACTCATCTTATGACAGGGTTCGAGGAACAATCATGGGGAAGTATAGGTTTTTTTTTTCTCAAGGCTCAATCTTATTCAACCATATCATTTACATCATCTACTTTGTGGTTAGCCAAGTTCTTGTTCTTGTAGCACAAAGCCCTAGAACTAGCCGAGCTGCTCTCCTGGCTCTTTTTACTGTTAGTCTGCTAGAAGTGACATTTCTATTAACCCTTCAAGATAGGGTCCTGGCTGTTCTGGAACTTACTATGTAGATCAGGTTGATCTGGCACTCATAGAGAATCTGCTGGCCTCTGCCTCCTGAGTGCACTCAGCACTGTGCCTGGCTAGCACTTGCCCTTTGGAATGGGTATTGTTGTTGAAGAGCTTCAATTCAGAGGTCCAGCAATGCCTCCCATCTCCACCAGCAGAAGATATTTCTATTTTGAGGGACTAAACTAAGAGCTTGTTGTCACAGTAATTGAGGATGGAGAAGTGGCTCAGTAGCTAAGACCACTTGCTGCTCTGGCTGAAGACCTGAGTTCTGTCCTCATAACCTTCTTTTCCCATTTCTGGCCTCTGTGTATGCAACACACACACACACACACACATACACACACACACACACGGTCACTGCAATTTAATTTATACTTCCCTAGTTGCTAAATATGGCTTCAGCATGTTTTTTCAAATATTTCTAGAACATTCTAATGTGCAACTAAGGTTGAGAACCTTAGTGTTGGGCATAACAAGGGAGAGCAAGGATCTGATAGTGTCAGATAGTGACTTCAAAGTCGAAGGGAGGGCGTTTTGCATTTGAGAAAATTTACAGGTATTTTTGAGATGACTTAAAGCAATGGAAGAGAAATAAGAGCAAATCCTTAGCTTGAGCAGAGGCGGGTTAAGAATGAAGATGGCGGAAGAGCGGGAACACAAAAGGCACTATTGCTTACTGTCATTTGCACAGAGCCCGGGACTTCTTGGGGCAAGTAGGACTAATTCTTGCCATTCATGACCGTGTAATGATCAAACTCTCAAGTAGTCCTGTTTAAAGTGATTAGCTTACACTCATCTGGACAGGCTTGCCATCTATTTGGGCTCACCCCAATAGTTCCTGTGTACTTGGCAGTCTGGTAGGATACTGCAGCCTTGATATCCATCCTCCACCCCCACCCCTGGGCCTTCATCTTCCCTCATTAAACACTTCACAGCAAGAGGGGGCTGGTGAGGAAGGGATTCTTTGTAAGACGACACCTAACACTACCAGAGGGAACTATGAAATACGGGCCCTTGAGTAAGGTCTGGAGGCCTGCACCAAGGACTGAAAATAGAAATCAACCCGAGTCACAAGGAAAGAGTTTGGTTCCCCTGAGGAGGGAGGAAAAGGAAAGTTGGCTGTCATCTGCAGGAGGCTGACTTTGTAGTACCCAGCACTGTTGTTGGTGCTAACCCAGGCTCTGTTCCACAGGAAGCTCAGAGGAGGGAGCCCTTCCAAGTAATGCTCTGCTGCATTCAACTTCATGTGACGGAGCCCTCTGACTGTGGGAGGAGAGGGGCAGAGGGAGGCCAGGGATGCCGAGAGGAGGAGAGGGGCAGAGGGAGGCCAGGGATGCCGAGAGGAGGAAGAGCATGTGGAGCCTGTGGAAGTGGCCATTGTCCTTTTCATTTAGAGGGTGAGAGACTAGTGTCAGTATTAACAGTGGGACAAATATATATATATATATATATACATATATACTGAATATAATAATGTATAATCGTAAACATAGTTTTATGATAAGAATTGACAATGTTAGAGTCCATGGGGCTCTGGAAGAGGTCAGACTAACCTACAGGAGCAAAAGGAACCAATGTGGTTGTCCCAGGATGGAAGTGGGCAGACTGACGGAGAAGGGCCGTGAGGGAGTGTCTCTGATGCGATTGTAACAGCCGGTATTGAGAAGGTGATACAAGTGCATTGCAGAAAACTTGTCAAATGATATACTTACTACTTATATATATGTAACTATATATATATGCAAATTTTGCCTCAAAAGAAAAAAATAAACTATAATAGTGGATCCCCATGTCGTGGTGGGAACTTGTATTTCTTTAGCTTTCCACTCAACTTCACTATAAGGAACAAAATGTTCCCTTAATTTTCACAAAACTATGAAACTCACTGCTGCACCTAGAAATTAAGAACATTAATCCAAACAAGAAAACTGCCTCCCCAGCAGCTCAAACAGCATGACAGCGTGGTCCTCCTCTGGAGAGTTCGCACTTGGTGAATTGAGAGCTGCCTAATTAACAGTTAGTGAAGGAACAGTTAGTGAGCTGTAACCTTCCCTGTTAGAAAAACGGTTAGCAAAGCCAAGTCAGCTCAGACTGCAGAACAAGTTAGAAAGATTGCCTCTGCCCTCCGGTTTTGAGTCGTCTTTACACAAACCAGGTGTTACATATTTTCTCAGCTTGCCTTAAGAAAAACTAGGAAAAGCGGCCAAACATTGGCAGGGCATCTCATTAAAAATGGATAAGGTTATTCATCAACTATCACTTCGAGAACAATCCATGCCTATGTTGAAAATGAGCTCTGGGAGGTCTTTCTACGTGATCCAGGCCTACTGTTCACAGAATTCAGTCTGTGGTTCTTACCCTTGAGGTAGACTGGGCTTCTTTTGCCTTCTTGGAATCAAAGTCAATCATGTGATTCACTTTGGCCACAAAGCTATGAGCTAAAGTGACGGGCATGGTTGTCAGCCCTCATTAGGAAAATTATAGGATAGTCACTGGGGTCTGAACTTCAGATGAACTGCTAGGGACCTTTGCTGGTGCCATCAACATGCCTCAGGCAATGGTTGAGACATCCTTATACTGTGGAGAATTCACATTTCTACTGGGAGTCCTGACATTTATCTGACAGTCCTACCTTAAGTATCAGTTACTGTGCGTTTTCTATCTCTCAGATGTGTCCCTCATGCCACAGCACCAAGATGGTGGCTGTTTCACAACTCTAAGTCCCCAAAGGATATGACAAAACAGCCCCATGTTGGCCTGCAGTGACCTTGTACCATTTGTAAGAAATGAACTTTGAGGCTGGAGAGATGGCTCAGCAGTTAGGGGCCTGTCCTCTGCTTCCGGAAGTCCTGAGTTCATCTCCCAGTACACATATTGGATAGCTTAAAACTTCCTGTAAGTTCAGCTGTAAGGGATCCTCTTTTGACATTGCACAGACATATACACATACACATGTACATACACATACATATACACATGCATATCACACACACACACACACACACACACACACACACACACACACACTCTCATTCACTCACTCACTCACTCTTAAAATAAACCTTGCCTGTGATTGCCTGAAATGGAACCATAGATGTCATATTCTGTATGATACATGCTGTGTGTGTAGCAAGAGTGTTTCTTCCCCTTAAATAATAAAATCATTGTTCTACATCTTTCCTTAAGGTGGACTTAGGTGAAGGCAAGATCTGCTTCTGTTGTGAAGAATTTCAACCAGCCAAATGCACGGACAAAGAAAATGCCTTGAAACTCTTCCCAGTCCAGCCTTGTAGCGCTGTACACCTTCTGCTTAAGGTATGATGGACAGCTCACAGGCTCCACCAAGAAATGTTCCACAGGAGTCCAAGAACGCTGCTCCTTGAGATATTTCCAAGCCAAGCTGCTGAAAGCAAGTATGAGCAGCCCCTCACTAACCTGCGGTTAGAACAGAGTGTAGAGGAGGCCACAGATTGTGTTTTAAATTATGGGCAGAGAGATTTCATTGTGTATTATAATTATAAACTGCAAAGGATCCAGCTATGCATATGTATATGCTTACACACACATCTGAGGTGTAGCTTTCAGGAAAGCCTCGCTTGCCCACTCACTTGGCATTGCTGTTCATTTGTAGTGAGCTGCGTGAGCTTGTTGAATGTTGCCATTCTATGACACATAGAGTGAGATCAGTCAGAAAATGACAGGTGACACTTGAGTTCTTTTATATCTTGTTTAATAGGCAACAATAAGTAAAAAAAAAAAAATTCTGGAGAATACACCAAGAATTCAGGTCAAAGAGAAATGCAAAATCAACCTTCATGATGGAGCCAAACCACTGAAGTCTGACTGGAGTGGGTGGCAGAATCAGCTGCTGATTCCTTAGCTGCTGGTTAGTCAACCACTTCTTTAGATCTTTGCTTTTCAGGAAGGAGGAGGAAGCTCAGAGAGAGAACTCTGCAGTGCTTCAAGCTCTGGGTAGTACAGGACTTAAAAGTGACCTGCTTACTTTGGTTTCTGCATGTTTGATGTTTGATGGTTGAATCATCTGGAACTTTCTAAGCCTGACTTAGCTTGAGGAAAGCCCCTGAAGGAGCCAGGGCTGTAGCCACAGCAACCTTCAGTGTTGACTTAGCTGCTATTTTGAGGAAAGAAAACCTATCTATTCCCTGGCTGTCCCTGGTTCCCACTGTGTGGTAGTTGAGTGCCTGGGCCACCACTGCCTGTTGCTCCCTAAGCAGTGGCCACACGTTAAGCAGATTCCATCCTGCTGAGACATGCTGTCCCTTGGGTGGTTGGGAGCACTGGCTAGAGAATAAGCTCACTGTTCTTCCGAAGGGAAATTTATAGATATTATTCAGATGCTTGGGAAAAAAAAGTCCCTTCGTGTCCTTGGGAAATTGGCTCTAGCACCCCTGAGGATGCCGAACTCGGTCACACCCAAGCCCCTTCCATAAAATGGCCTAGGATTGATTGCACATAACCTTTACACACTCTTCCCCATGGTTGAGCCATATATAGTGCAGCATCTGGTGCAATGCATTTTGCAAATAGTTGTTATATCATTTAAGAAAAAAAAATGATAGGAAAAGGGCCTGCCCATGTTCAGCACAGTCTTGGTTTTCTTCGGAGTAGCTTCCATTTTCTCTCTGAGAAGGTGAACCCATGGCTATGGAGGTCCCACTGCCCTGTATATAACTAATACTAGGCCTCTGTGAGACAGGGAGCTTGCCGGGTATGTTTTTGGGGTTGCTTATTTTTTGAAGTGGACTTTGGCCTGGCACTCAGATGCTCCTGCCTCAAGCCTTCAGGATGCTAGGATTATAGGTGCATCTCATTATACGTAGTCTAGGCTGTTTTTGTTTGTTTGAATAGGCAGCTTTACTGTATTACCAGTCCAGGTTTGAAGAATTATAAGCCAGCATTTATTTCCGCACTTCCATAAGCCAGATGCTATGTGACCCCCGGCCTCATCTGCTCGGAAGCTTGCCAGTTTGGACAGCATCATTATTGACATGTTTTGCACATCTCTCTGATCAGTGGTCTTGTTTCCAGAAAGTCCTGTTTGCCCTGTGTGCCTTGAACGCCCTGACCACCACAGTATGCTTGGTGGCTGCCGCCCTGCGCTACCTCCAGATCTTCGCCAGCAGAAGGCCATGTATTGTAAGTGTGAGAACACATTGTAAAGTGTTTTGACCTAGCAGTCCATCCCTACTGTGTGTGGAAGTACTGTGTGGAGTTTCTAGCTAGCAGTCCATTCCTACTGTGTGATCCAATGCTTTTCTCCTGTTATGCTGTTTAATCAGGATGAATCTCAGATGTCTGCTGAGGAAGTGGAAGAGCACGGGCGGATTCCGGACCCAGACGACTTTGTACCGCCAGTGCCTCCCCCCTCTTACTTTGCCACATTTTACTCCTGCACACCTCGGATGAACCGCAGGTATAACTCCTACGTCACGCTGGGGTCTCCATGCTATGCCCTGCCATGAGATTTGTATGGTCTCCAGAACACTCAGCCTGAGCTTCCACTTTTTTTCTTCAAAATCCAGGCAGATTGTCCTGCTGGACCAGCTCTCTTTTTCCCTGTTTTTTTGTTTCTCTCTGATAAACCAGACGACTTCAAAGATAAGTCCAACCTTGACCTAGAGATAAACTTTTTCAATTTCTTTTAGCTTCCTAGAGAAAACTGATACCCAGTGAGATAACAGCTATAATTTGACAGGATTGGGAGTTTCTGTTGCCCTGGAAACACACCCAGTTAGGCAGAATTGATGTTTTATTATAACACCATCAACCAGTCCCAACAGTTGTGGCAATCTTTGCAGCCACCAAGAAAAAATTAATTATTAATTGCATCTCTCTGGCTTAGGAAAAAAATGGACACCATGCTTAATTTTTCTATTCAAATTTCAGCTCAAATTTTGAGTGTTTTCCTTAAATATCAGAAATTATTATTTGTAGAGTGGAGTATGTATTCTTCTAGTTTATGGTAATGCCTAGGATCGAATCTTTAAAGAATGACCTCATTTATTTATCCAGAAAACATTACCAATCTTCTTCTACTTGCTTGGTGCTGTGCTGGGTTATAGAAATTCAAAATGAGTTAGTCCAGCTTCCTCTGTTCCGAGCCAGGAGCTCAGTTTAGATCACTAACATGAGTGTTAGGATCACAGTGTTCAATGCCCAGAGGTTTCCCAAGCCCAGAAGAGCCAACTGGGTCACCCAGTCAGCTCTGGCATCCCTAGAGAAGTGATTTTGTGCTGGGTTTAAATGTTAAGCTCCAAAGGAAAAAAAAATCTCTGGGGTCAAAGGGAAGATTAGCATCTTTAGTTTGATGTCTGGGGTCAAGCATGTGTAGTTTTGGATATCTGTAGAGTCATCAGACAGATGGGGTACAGGTTTGAGGTTGCTGGAAAAATACTTTATGATGTTCAGGACAGCTATGCATGCATTTGAAACAGTTCCCACCTAGGCTCTGCTCATGTTCTTTGAATCTTATCTGACCCCTCCTGGAACACCTACCCAGGCAGAGGAGGAGATAGCCATAAAGCCGGGGAGGGCTGTCAACTAGATGAACAAATTATCTTGGGACAGCAAGGCTTCTCTGTCTTGGGAGTGACCCGCTGACACTGCAGAGCATCAAGGGGCAAGGATGGAGTGATTCTGATCCTTTCAGAAACTGTGTGGAGGATTGAAGATGCTGAAGAGGGTTGGCAAAAAAGCATGTGTTCTCTGTGGGCTGTCTCTGGTTTTTAAACCTCTCAAGCTAATTCTTCTCCATTACTCAGGCTGAGTCATAAAGGATCCCAGAGAAAATAACTTTCAAGCAAGTAACAATCCTGTTTATCTGTCTTAGAGTCCTGTCGATGCAAAGAGACACCATGACCATGGCAACTCTTATAAAGGAAAGCACTTAATTGAGGCTATCTTATAGTTTAGTCCACTGTCATGGTGGTGGGAAGCATGGTAGCAGGCAGGTAGACATGGCACTGGAGAAGTAGCTGAGAGTTCTACATCTGAATCTGCAAGTTTCAGGAAGAGAGAAAGCTACTGAGCCTTGAAACCTTAAAGCCCACCCCCAGTGATGCACCCACTCCAAAAAGGTAACACCTCCTAATCCCTCCCAAGGAGTACCAGTCTGATGACTAAGCATTCAGACATATAAGCCTATGGCATGCATTCCTAGTCAAACCACCACCAGCTCCATAAACTCTTATTTGCCTAAGAAGTGGCTTACCTGGACTTTTCTTTGGTGCTGACTCTGAAATATTGTCCATCAAAATGCAGCATCAGTGGTCATCCTAATGACATAATGACACCATAGGAGTCATTCATTTTGTGATCATGTTGTATAAAATGCCATCTTCAATTTCTGGTTTTCCTTCTGGAAGAGTTTAGCATCTAAGATGCAAGCCCACTCTCTTGACCTTGGAGATCCAGTGCCTTACCTCTGTGCATGCAAAGATAGTCAATAGGTTGTGAGTATGCTTACCTCTGTGGGTGCAAAGATAGCCAATGGGTAGGGAATGTCAGAGAGCAGACAGGTAGGCAGAGCTAGGGATAGTAATGCCCTAGGCAAGGGATTCCCCAGTCCTCTGCCTTTGACGAAGGGGCAAAGGCAGGGTTTATAAATGCTAGAAAGATGACTCATGGGTGCTAATTCAAGACTGAAGCCTCGACATATCTGGAGAAAGTTGGCCTCTCTGATTCAGACAACTGTGCTGTTCATTGGTCAGGACCTCTCCACTAAATCTAGGAAGGGTCTAGTTCTTTGGAGACACTCAGCAGTTGGAGTCTTAAGCAGCATGAGCTAGGTAGGAGAGTTGGAATGAAATCCATGCCTGAGTTCTTGTCTCAGGAGAATGTCTACCCAGGACAGCTTTGGCAGGAACCCTCCAGCCCAGGAAGAGGCTTTCATGGGACTCCTTTGTTCACTGGATGCTTGACACTTTATACACCCGCTCTGGGGCACACCTCAAGTCAGGGGCCAGTCTCTACCTCTAAAACCTCGACTTTACCCTTTCAGGGCAGCATAAATGGGCACAAAGAGTAAGATGAATTTTAAATCCAGTTAATGTGTCTCCCTTTCAGAATCAGCCTCTCAGATGCATCTGGCCTTGAATCTGTCTTTTCACCAACTTCTATAAGGTTCCTCTTTTGTTTTTTTCATATTCTAAGAAGAGACTTTTTTTATTTTTTTAGAAGAGGCACTGTTATGGGTGGTTTCTTCTTGTTTATTTTCTTTCTCTAGTACCTAAGGAGCACAGGGTTCTCAGTTTTGTTTAACTTTTTGCCTTTTTATACTTTGTAATTACTTTAAAATCTCAGTTCTGTGTTTTCTAATGTCTTTTCTTCTTTTTATTATTTGGTATAAATACTGACAGGAAATCTTGTGAGTTTTGGTTTTGCTTTTTATTTTGCTGCCCAGTGTCCTTCAACCACAGAAAAAAACAGCAGTGTATGGGGTGGGGGGAAGGGTGGCTCTAGAAATACCATGGCCATTGGACTATGCAGGAGAGCACCAAGAGTCTTCTTATCCTCATGAGGCAAGAAGGAAGTCCTGTTCAATATGACTCAGTAGCCAGTGTTGGTTCAAGCTTAATTTAATATTTAAGTTCATATTTCATATTTAAGTTCAGTACAATTTAGAAAAGTTTTCTGGTGTAACACAATCCTGTGTGTACAATAAAGCTTAGGGGGTAATTACATTGAAACTCTTAACATACGTGTCCCTTCTTCCATGAAGATGAGTTCTTTTGTTAAAGTTTATTTATGTATTTTATGTAAGTTTATGTAAGTGCTCTATCTGCATGTATGTCTGCATGGTAGAAGAGAACATTGGATCTCATTATAGATGATTCTGAGGTACCGTGTGATTACTGGAAATTGAACTCAGAACCTCTGGAAGAGCAGGCAGTGCTCTTAACCCTTGAGTCATCTCTTCAGCCCCTGAAGCTGGGATCTATAGATAGACTACATATGTTATCTTAAGGACTTGGGGGAGGATCAGGTGTGGCCCCAGTTATACAGATAGTGCAGAGGCCATTCAGGGCACTAACCACATCCATTCCCAGCCTTCTCTGTGGAAAAACAGGTTATGCATCAGTTCCTTTGAAAAGACAACCTTGCATGTTTAAAATGTCTGGTTTTCTGGTGCTTATCTGTGGGCACAGGGACCTCATGGCCTCTCTAACAACAAGAAGAACTATAACTTCAGAAGTGCTTGAAAAGGGAAAGCATCTAACATTGGTTGGGAGAAATGTAATTTGGAAAGGGAAAGTATAATTGAGTAATTCTTCTGCGATAAAGCAGAGGAATCATATACTTATATTGCTAAGTGTGGCAGATGTCATGGTCTAAGGAACCCCACGTACCCTGTGGTGGAGCAAGAGAAGGGCAGTGAAGAACAGAGTAGAAATAGTTGAATCAGCATGTATGGTTGCGGAAGGAAGAGGAGCTCCAGGAGAAGTTAGCTTTAACCAGGAAAACAGCAGCTGGTGTTTCAGACCTGTTCACATGACAGAGTAACTGTCTCAGGTCAGTCTCTCTGTATCTTGGTAGTTGTGAGACTTTTTAAAAGTGTTTCTGCTGAAACTCAGTTAGCTATAGCTTTGTTGTGGGAGTGAGGTGTCAGTATTCCAAACGAATATAGATCTTTTTGTCAACTCAGCCAGGTTTGTCATACCAAGTTCAGAGAAAAATAGAATGTTAACCCACCTCTTTCTTTGTTCATGATAGGACTGTTTTTAAATTTTATCCAGGGCCGCACACCTGGCACAGTGCATCATTAGTCAGAGAGTGACTGCCAAGGAGGATGTGGGAGTCACTCTGTGGTCCTTCCTGTTAGCTCCTGTTTTGTCTTGGATCTGGGGGCAATGCTCACCTTTTGTTTGAAATTATTCCCCCCCTTTAAAAAAAGCTATTTAACAGAGAATCTCTCACTAATCTGTGAACTAATACAGGAGAGCACCAAGAGTCTTCTTATCTCAGTTGCTTTGGCTGTTGTTACCGGATGTGCTTCAGTGGTATTTAGTATATCCACCACATTGCGCAACCACCACCTCTAACTCTCTCCAAAGCATTATCCTCTCCCATAAGCAATTGCCAAGTCCATAAACACTAAACGGTTACTTCCTATCCCCCTCTCAGAGCCTGGCAGCCACCCATGCTCTCTGTCTCTACGGACTATAGTTTGCATTTACACCTCTGTACTAAAAGGAAGAAAGGCATTACGTTTTATACATTGTCATTTCTAAAGGACCCCCCTGGTCATTTGTTTAAGGACCCTCTGGGCTTTTGTGTAAGGGAAGCTTGGATGGTTATTCCACTTCAGGCTAAGCTGTTGTGAGTGTCTCTCCCCACCACCCCAGCTCCCAGTTTAAAGGCAAAGGCAGAGAGAGGGTTCAGGGGCTGCTGCCATTGGAGGGCCAGTGTACAGAGCATACCTCCTGATGCCCAGGTGTTGTTTTCTAGGATGGTTGGTTCTGATGTCATCCCACTGCCCCATATCTATGGAGCACGGATCAAGGGTGTGGAAGTGTTCTGTCCTCTGGACCCCCCTCCTCCATATGAAGCCGTAGTGAGCCAGACTGACCAGGAGCAGGTATGTCCACGTTATAAAGAGCACGCTCTTACATAATCTGAAGGAGTTTATGGGGGTCCTCTGAGGATCATAAAACAAAACAAAACAAAACAAACAAACAGTGAACCCTTCCTTTGTGGTGCAGGAGTCTTCATTCCAAATGCCAGAAGGACCAGAAACTGCCACGAGCCCAGTGGAGCCAGTTTGCACACAGATAACTCAAGGTAACACATCTTTACTACCCCGGGCCATAATTCAATAGATTGGAACATGGCAGAATGATCTGACAAGTGGTTTGATTGAGGTAAGGTATTCTTGGAGCAAATGGTATAGGCTACATCCTTCTTGTCCAAAATACTGTCAACTCTTAGGGCTTAGAAGTGAGATCTAGAATGTTAACAGGAAAAAGAAAAAAATATACTGACATACAGAGACTATCTTATAACCTTTTCATGAATGATCAGACTATCCCCAGGAACCCATGGAATAGAGTAGAGGTTAACTCCTTATTCCTGTGGTTCTCTACCCACTTCCTTGTTCTGTTAAAATGAGCGGGTTTCCTTCGAATGAACATGAGTTTCCCAGTGAGAATTCACATTGTCATTTATAACCAAAGGTTTTAATGCTAGAACTAAGATTTTTTTCAGCCCTGTGGCCAATGCTAGAGTCAATTTACGTTTATCCTTGTAATTTAAGGAGACCATTGTTCCAGCTTTCTGTCTTTGGGGAGGTTTTAGATGGCCTAGAGAATTGTCCACTGGTACAAAATTGCAGATGGCAATAAATAATGGATTGACTTTCCGCCATGTCAGATGGGGGTAGCTTTTCAGCAGTGCTGTGTGGACCATTCTTGTATTCACTTTATGTTTGGAAGGGGACAGACTGAGCCCCTGCCACTGAGCCCCAATGCCACATACCTTAAGACAAATTATAAAACATTGTTCTCTTCTCTTAAGCACATTTGTTTTTCACAGGGAATTTTCCCGTCAGAAACTCAGCTTTCCAGATGCTGCTGCTACATTTCCTGGGCAAGGCTCATCCGATTCCAGTGTCATTTGCTGATTGATTTTGCAGCCACTGGCTCCTTTGCTAGACTATTGAGAGTGTCCCAACCTGAGAATCCCTTGGGCCAGGCAGATGTGCATCTGCTAGCCTTGTCTCGGCAGTCCACAGGATAGCACCCTCACTCACATAGGTAGCATCTCCCCTAAGAGCCGAATACTGTAAAAAGCTTTGGTACTTTTGGAGGCTGCCTCAGGATGCCCTAGTGAAAAAGATTCTGAACACCTCTAGGAAACAAACCAAACTGATGTTGTGACATGGTCTCTTAATTTTGCCCTTTGGGCTTATCGTTTTTCTTGTTTGCTTTTTTTAAGTGTGGAAGGGTGATTTGGAGAGGGAGGCTTTTCCATGGTGCTGGGAACTAAAACTGACCAGGCCACCAGCCTAAGTAAACATTATTAATTATATTACTCTTGTCTTGGCAGGTTTGGGCCTACAGGTGTTTCCTGACCAACATTTTGAAGGCTACAGCTGTTGAAATAATGTATTTGTTTTATTTTAAATCAGGTGGGGTTCTTACTAACACGACTGGTGAAGAAAACACATCTGGATCAACTCCTATTTCCAACCTGGTTCAGCCTCTGAGAAGCCGGAGAGCTCTATCACTTCTGAGGACAAGATCAAAGAGTGACCCTGTGCTTCACCATTCAGAGGAGAGAGGTGATGTCACTCTTCAGGCTCTTGGTAGACCACTTCGATTTTTTGACTGGTGCTAAGTATCATTTAAAGTGCCAGGTACAATCAGGTGGCTCTGGCAAGCTGAGGGCCCTTCAAGTTTAAGCAATATCTTGAGAGAGGTTGAGAGGCCATGGGAAAAATCAGATATTCTATGTTCACATTGGGAAAATACATGTGGTATTTCTTTAAAATTAAAATAATACACACACACACACACACACACACACACACACACACATATTGTGTTGTGGGGGGGGTACACCATGGCGCATATGTAGAGGTTGGAAGACAAGCTGTAGCTGTATGGGTCAGTTCTCTTCTTCTAATGTGGGTTCTGGGGCCTCTACTCAGGCTGTCATATTGGAGGCAAGTGCCTTTACCTGATGAACCACTTAACTGGCCCTGGCACTGTGTGGCTGGTGGAACTGCTCCCGAAGTCATGGGCAGTCAGATTTGGTTGCCCATGATGCTGTTCTTGGAACAACTTTAAGATTATTATGAGAACTGTCTCCCGATTTCCCAGTTGCTGGCCGTTCTCTAAGAATCAGTCAAGGATTGTATGGTCTTATTCTCTGGCTCTACAATTTTGTATTTGTTATCTTTTTCAGTGTGTTATCTTTTTCTAGTAGTCTCAATTATTGGAATCTGACTATGTGGTTTTTTTTTTTTAACACTTTGGATACAGTGAAACATGTTATTTCATCTCACACCCTCATTGTTTTGAGTATAATAAGATGGAAGCCTCTTTTGAATATATGAATACCTGGACATCTATGAACACCTCTCATGAGAGAAAAATATATAAAAACCAAGGAAGCAAAGGAATAAAGTAAACAGCTTTTGTAGTTCAACCAGCAGGGGCCTCTGGGGGAATTAGTCTGCTAGCTATGCTCTGTTCTTCGGAAGCTCTATGCAGAATAACTAGATACCCTCTAACCCTTCTCTCTGGTCCTGTCTGGCCCTTGTGGTCTCTGTTCTGTCCCTTTGACAGTGAGTGTCATTTGTCACAGCTCTGGACCGACCATATGGAAACCACAGAGAACATTTCTCTTGTCCCTGCAGCAGCTTCCTGCTCCTGAGACTAGCTGTGTGCCTCTGCAAACCAGTAGGCTTGGCAGCCTGGCCTCTAGTTCAAAGACCCACCTTCACTGTGGAGATCCTTTATCCTACCTGGCAAGTTGAGTCTTCGAGCTGGCCCTGTGCCAGCTTCCAGGAGCACGTAGCTATTTGCACAGCAAGGGGAGGCTGGACCCTCCCTTGCATTCTTCAGTCCTGTGGAAGAGAGGACATTTATCTGTTTGCTTGTTTTACTGGGGAAGGCACCAAGTTGCTTTCAATGAGCAAGTGTAAACTCCTCTCTGTCTTCACATGGTTTTACCCTGTGTTTCTGGAAGACTTGTCTATAATGTGCACACAGCAAGCTGGAAGGACAGCTTCTAACCCTGGTTCAGAACTCCTGTCTACCTTTCTCCAGAGAAAAAGGAAACCTCCTCTTCTTCCGCCTATCCTTCCACCTTGTGCTTCCTGCTTCCTTGAATATCTAAATCCGCACTTATGAGGCCTTTACAGATTCAAGTTGACAGTTGTGTGCTCTGAAGGCTGATGGTGGCTTATGGACACATGGAGATCTGACCTGGGGATCAACTTCTCCACCCAGTTCCTGGTAAAATAGCTTCTTTGCCAGTCTTTCTACCTTTACTGATGGAAGCAGCCATGGAAATTAGAGCCTGCAATGGATTTTTTTAGACCCTCTGTTGACTTCTGGAATGATGTAACTTTCTGCACCTAAGTTTTCTGTAATAGTCATAGATCTGCCTCACTGCCACGGTGTGAGCTCAGTAACTAGAATCAGTACAATGTCCTTGAGGATGTTTAGGACGAAGGTACCGTGACAGCCCACTTTCTGCTCATCCCACAAGTGCATCATCTGTCCATTCCTCTCTTTGACTTTTCCAAACCTATCTGCTTCCAATGTTCTCTTGTTGGTCCACCATCGTTTTTCTGCTTGGCCATTCATTCCTATCTACTTGCTGTACCCCATGAAACACGCTCGTCTGTGGTTTGCGCTGTGGATTTTGTGCTGTGTCATTCATTGCGTTGGGGACTGTTTATGTGTCACAGTTCAGCGTCTCAGCACACAGCCTATTGGAAGTGCATTTCACACAATGGTCTGTGACAGTTTCATTCCCCTTAATTCCTTCCATTCTTCAAGATGGTGAGATGTACACGCATGGCCTCGGGCATCTGCCACATGTTGTCTATACTGAGTGCTACATAGTACACTGTACTATGGTCAGTGTTCAGAGGGGCTTGTTCAGTGGTGACTTTTGTCTTTGTCCACAGCTACCCCAGTGCTCAGCTGCGAAGCTGCGACTCAGACAGAAAGGAGGCTAGATCTGGCCACGGTGACCCTGAGGAGAGGTGCAAGACTGCGGGCATCAAGATGCAGACCCCGCTCTCTGATAGATTACAGGTCTTACATAGACACGAAGCTGCTGGTGGCCAGGTTCCTGGAGCAGTCCTCCTGCAGCATGACTCCCGACATCCATGAACTTGTAGAAAACATAAAGTCTGTTCTGAAGTCTGACGAGGGTCACATGGAGGAAGCCATCACGAGTGCCAGTTTCCTAGAGCAGGTACTGTTCTGTACAACATCAGGCATGCTTCCAGTAATTGGTGTCATTTCCCATTGGAGGCAGAGGGAGCCTATGGTCACTCTCTAGGGACCTGGAGGAAGGGTTATGTCCTCAGAGAAGACAATAGAGAGCTATCCTCTGGGCTTCATCACTTTTTCATAGTGCTCTTGGCCCAAGGGAAGAGAACCCCACTTCCTGGGAGGTAAAACTATGCCCAGTAAAAAGTAAAGAATCTGGGTACCACAGAGTTCATCACGGAGTTCACCATGCTTGTAATTCCCTTGATGGGAGGTTGCCCAGGATGCAGTGTTTTCCCAGCTCTTGATTGGCAAGGTTCTAGGAGTGATTCCCATGCCCAGTGAATTGCTGGGTCAGACAATTGGCTGTTAGGACTTAGAGCAGTGGTTCTCAATCTTCCTAACGCTGCGGCCCTCTTTCATACAGTTCTTCATGTTGTGGTGACACCCCGACCATAACATTATTTTTGCTGTACTTCATAATTGTAATTTTGCTTCTGTTATGAATAGTAATGTAAATATCTGTGTTTTCCAATGGTCTTAGGCAACCCCTGAAAAAGGATCATTCAACCTCTCCAAAGGGGTCTCAACCTACAGGTTGAGAACCACTGGATTAGAGGACCAAATACCTTTCTCTCCATAGATTAAAAAAGTAAAAGGTGTCCTAAACTGAAGCCACCCTGATAAAAGACCAAACTGGGCATACATGGAGTCCATTTGGGCTTTGGGTTTCTCATCGTTAAACGGAAGGCTTGGGCTAGGTAGTCTTCAGCCCTGTGTCCCCTAGTAAGTGGAATTTCCTCCCAACAAGAGTCTTCTCTTTACCCTTTTGAGAGCTGTTGTTACCTGTTGGCTGTTTATTCATTTTCCTGGGTCGGCGGAGTAGATGCTGTAGACAGTACACCACGGTGCCCTGTGTTACCTGCTCTGATACATAGTGGCTTCAGGAAGATTGTCCTGTGAGGTTTGGTAGCAGTGAGACTCCTGATTCTTTCCCGCTAACAATATCACCATAGTGACATGATAGTTCAGCTTTCCACAGATCATCCCTTATCAGTCCTACCCAGATGAGAAATATTCTGTATTTTGCATTTTTGAAAGGTGAAATGCTACTGTTACATATAAAAAGTCATATGACCCATTAAAGACAAGCCTGTAGGGCGTTCACAGATACAAGTGTCCTGCTTCTTTCCGCTGTTTAGCCAGAGCTTTTCAGAGCCACCTGAAGCATCATTGATTTTCACTGGCATTCTATAAACCTGATCCAGGACAGTGGTTCTGTGTTGGGACCACCTGCTTCTTGTTAAAACTCCCAAGCTTGGAGCTAGGGAGATGGCTCAGTGGGCCAAATGTTTGCTGTGTAGGCATGAGGACCCAAGTTCAGATTCTCAGTATCCATATCAAAACAAGGCATGGTGGCACCAGCATGCAACTCTGGTGGCTCCTGGGGGCTCCCAGTCTAACCAATGTGGCCAGCCAGCATCAGTTGCAGTGAGAGACTCTCTCCAAAAAACTAAGGTGGAGAGTGATAGAGGAAGCCACTGGGTGGCAACTCTAGACTACACATTCACACACAATCGAGTGTACTGCACACGCATACACACACACACACACACACACACACACACACAAAGCAATAGGTGGCAGGTGAGACCTTATGTTCCTAACAAGCTATACTGCCTACATCCCTCTCTACCTGGGTTGGAACACAGGGATACTGGAGAAATAGGAAGAGAACAACCTTAAAAATAAGACAAGAAAGTGCAATTGAGCCATTATATATGGCTTGCCTACTGCTGAGACAATAGAAAATTAGGAGAATTTCTTCAAAACTTCACAAAGAAGGCAACGTTCAAAACATCTTTGGAAGTCTAAGTAGATTCTACTTTGGAAAACATACCTCTCTATTCTGAAATAACTAAACGTTAAAATCCACAGATGGATACAAGGGGTGGGTCAAAAGGCCAGCGCTGGTGGGGCTAACATCTTCCCTTTCCTGCTCTTTCCCCAAAGATAATGGCCCCGGCACAGCCCAGCACGTCCCAGGCCCAGGCGCTGACCTCGAGGAGACAGCCTGGCCTGCTGCACCTGCGCAGCTGTGGAGACCTGAGCACCTTTTCCCTGGGAGCAAGGCCAAGAGCTGAGAGAAGGCCCCAGCAGCGAGCTGAGGCTGAGCGGCCACACAGCCTCATTGGTGTCATTCGAGAGACTGTCCTGTGAACTGAGTGACATAGAAGGATGTCCCTACTCAGAGCTGTTTACTGTCTGGGAGCTGGGGGCACCTCCCCTGTTAACCCCTCAACAGGGGTCCTCGGGTGGACACTTATTCCTGCTCTTTGGCTCCCTTTTTGCTGACGAGGGCACTCAGGTGAACTCGGGTGAAGTAAGTTCTTCCTGACCCTTCCAGTCTGTGTGTTCCCGGTTGGAGGAGAAGGCAGGGAGGGCTCTTTTGTCTGCTGAATCTCACAGTATCCCCAAGGGGTGCGCACTGGGTGAGCAGAAAACAGGCTCCTGAGTCTTTGCCTGCCTCACCCCTTATGGCTCTTGTTGTTGCCAAGTTCATTCCCTCACTGTAAGGGGAGAACTGCTGGGCTATTTATAGCTGCCTGCGGCCTCTGGGCTGCTCAGTGAGAGGAATTGGCAGGAGATATGATGGTTAACACCATGGACTCCAGTCCTCCAGCCTCCTTTAGGTTACTCTCAATCCCATCCTCTTTAGGAAAAGCAGGAGACCAGCTAAGCGGTATTTTTTTTTTTTTTTTTACATGAAGGACGTTAAGGGAGAGCACTATGGTTGAGTCCATTCTTTCATGCTTGCAAACTAGAACACTTAAGACAGAACAGAGAATAAAGCGCTGACTTTGGAAAATCTGGGCTCCATGTGTAGTGTTTGTGTGCGCTCAGATGACCAGGCCTTAACTCATGGAGGGTTTGGAGCTTGGAGCTGTGGTGGCTGGGGTTCCCCTCTAGGCCACCAAACCAGGTTTATTTCCACAGTTCTGGAACCTCACGGATAACAATGCATCAGGCAAGCCCTGGGCTGAATTTAACACATGTTAGGCTGAATGGCACTGTGAACCTTGCATTCTAGTGGCCATGAACTTCTAGTCAGGAAAGCAATTACCAATAGTCTTGATGCTAAGAAGTAAGGGGGTGGTCAGGGAGGGCTTCTTTGAGGAGATGACATTTGAGCTGGGCCTTGACTTTGAGGACCAGGGGAGACTATTTGAGGCAGAGACAGAGACCAGGCATACTAGCGATCACAGAATTGTTTTGAAGGAAAGGTGGAAGCCTGGCCAGCTGCATTTTATGTTAACAGTGAGATACCATGGAAATTTCTAACACAAGAAAGATAAGCTTAATCCTATTTCAGAACAATCACCGTGCTACTGGGAAAATAGTTAATTTCGATGGGAAAGGAGGCAAGGAGATAGACTAAGACTGCCTGTGGGGTGAGCACTGGTTTTATTGGGCCCCGCGTCAGTACTATGATGAGGGTGTTGAATTCTCATTTGATGCTCACCACATCCTATTTGGTGGGCGCTGCTATTTGTCACCATTTTATAGGATATTGATATTTCATGACATTCACACCCAAGTGGCCGGACTCAGCAACCTTTCTGAGTCCAGCCTCTTGGGTAGTAGCATTTGTGTTCCCTGTTTCCGTAAGAGCATTGTTGAGCGTCCCGCTTGGTTCATGGGACCACAGACTCCCCTGGCTCTATATCAACCACTCATATCAGAGTGGGCTCAGGGGTCACTGAGCTGCTGTGGAAAGTGGGCTTTGGAAACATTGAGAAATGAAGGGCCATGAGCAGGCTGGGTCTGGCTGAGTACCTGAGTGAGCTGCATTAGGGGGCTTCCCCAAGGGCGCTCTCTGTTGTTACCACCACCCATCCTAAGTGAGAGACACACATGTGTTCTGGCCTCTCTAAAAATCCTCAGTGACACCATGTAGCTTCGCACCACAGGCTGGGCTTCTGGCCAAGGTCAAACCTGCTTTCTCTGTGAGTCACTACAGTGTTGTAAACCTCTGGCCCCACCGTTGGTTGCTCACAGGGTAGACTGCCTGGGAACCCGGTCTTGCCACTTCCCTTTGCATTTGCTCCAGCTGACTTTTTCAAGGGGAAGCCCAGGAGTCCCCAGCCTACCAGGGGCTCCTCCTCATCATTGGTGAGAAGATAGTGCTGGCCATGTCTCTGTATGTGGCCAGATCTTACATATCCTCTGCCCACCCCCGAACCCCAATTTTCTCTCTAGCTGTACCTCTTTCCAATCCCTTTCCCGAGACCCTTGCTGGTTGCCTCTGACTACTGCTGCTAAGCATTTAGGATGTCTCAAAGGCTCAGGGCACATGGCTAGGTATCAGAGGTGTGAACCTTTGAGGCACGGTACAGAGATGCCCCTGTGAGTCCTGAGGACAGGGTGGATGCCAGCCACAAGCCGACAGGGAAAGGCATGAAGCCTGAGAGTATCACCCAAAGGGTAGCAGCAGGCAGAGGGGCTGCCTCAGTTTATCAGAATTGCCTCTGCTGGGTCAAAATGTCTCATGTAAGTCCAGAACCTGAATGTGTTGGTGAAGAGTCCAATATCTTCCTTAATCTCCACGCTCTTTGTAATATTGATGATACTACAATGTTTTATGAGTATTTATCTTGTGGGGCACTTAGAAATAATACCATTCATTTCCCTTCTCTCCCTCCCCCGCCCCGTCTCTGTATGTGTGCATAAATGTTCTCGAATTCCAAAGTACTAACAGTATGGCATGTATACTCATAGGTTAATGGAATATGTATAGGGCAGACTGTTTTTCATTAAAGTACCACAGGGATCCACAGTCCAGAGGTAGAGACAAAGGATTATTTCAAATGTGACCCCAGAATGATAACAGCATCGATTACTGAGCATAGAAATATTGGAAGTCTTCACTAGCAAAGTGAATGTCACTCAGGATACCTGGCTGCCTAGAACAATGTACAGTCATTGTTGGCCCTGCTTCAGTGAGTAAGAACACAGTGCCCACTTTGGGAGCTTGGCACAGGAAAAATCAGGACAGGGGTTGCTCCTTCAAAACGTTCCAGCAAGCTCTATGTCTGGGTGTCTGAGGCCAGAGAGGAAGACTTTCTCAGCTTTTATACTTTAGGAAGACAGCCTAAAGGCTCACTGCCCCAAGAATCCTACCTAGAAGTAAGGTTTCAGGGTGGAGGCTCTGAATTCCAGATGTCTGCCTGCTTACATTTACCACAGGAACCTCTCCAGCAGTCCCTACAGGCCAAGCTCAGCTATCCATCCCAACACATCAACTACAGAAACAAGCAGTGATGTAAAAACAGAGAGGAGAGTCAATCAGTGTCCATTGGGGGTGATCGGCAGATGAAGGGGTCCAGTGACCCCAGACTTGCCTTGCGGGTGTTGATAGGAGCTTTAGGTTCAAACAGAGGACGAACCTCCGCAGGAGGATAGAAAGAGGATTGTATATTTAAGCAGTCTTAGTCAAAGATTGGCCCAACATCACCTCGGCTTCTGACCTTCAGTATTGTTAATCATGGCTGTTGTCAGAGGGCCCAGTCTGGTTCTGCTAAGATAAGCGATCTTCTCCAGGGTGTGTGCCTGCCCTCAGCTCATGGGTGGTCTATCCTGCCTACTCGTCAGGCAGGATATCACGCCTAGAATCCACGGTGCTGCAGGGTAAGGACCAGGACTTGGTATTTGAGTTTTAAAGTAGAATGAGATTAGGTGGGAGCCTCACCTTTCAGACACCTAGGCTGAGGAGGTGACTGTCAGGCAGCTTTCTAGCAGGAGTTTGACCCAAAGTAAAGGAGACAGGCACAAAGTGCAGGTGGAGGTGCCTCTCATCCCGTGTCTGTTACCTCATGAGCACAGGTGAGGAATTGGCACTTTGTAGGAAAAGCATCTTCTCTATGCCTGGTACAGCTGCAATCGTGTGTCTGTACCCTTTCAACCAACTTCTTTCAGTTAGAAATACACACTTAAGTTTCCTCCATGTTTTTTCATAATTTGGTAGTCCAGCCCCCTTTAAAATTATTATATTCCATAGTCATGGCATCCACCGTGCAGGTCCTTGGTGTCATGTAAGTTAGAAATCAGCACAGGCTAGGCTTAAAGCACAAGAAATGTGGGTGGTTATCACAGGGAAGTATATTGGGTTACTCAAGAGCCACAGCAGACTGCCTTATCTGCAGATCAGCCATGGACAAACGTGTGTATTTTGGTTTTTTATAGGGAAGGGTTGGAATAGGTTTGGGGGACACATTGCTCATGATTCAAAATGTGTCTGTCTTTGTGTTAGATTTAACCTAATCTCCACAGAGATTTTATTATCTAAAGTCTACCATGCTGGCCCAGAGATATACCTTAAGGGTGACTGTTGTTTTTCCAGAGTTCTGTTACTAGTCCCCATGTTGGCAGCTCTAGGGAATCTAATGCCCTCTGCCACACTTGTCAACACACACACACACACACACACACACACACAAACGATGGGGGTTTGAGGGGGAAGGAGAAATGAATAAATAAAAGTAAAAGCCCAGACTGTGCTAAAGCATTACAACAAAGGTGTGTTGAAGTTCCTCGGAACAAGGACAGCCTGGTTGGATTGGCACCCATCCTGGCAGTTACTGGTCCTAACTGGTTTGCCCTTACCTTCTTGCTTTTGTTTGCTTTCTTGAGTGTTGCTACTTCAGCAGGATCTGCAGATTCCTTGACTCAGCCCCCCTCCCCCCTAAAAAAGATCTTCAGATTAACTTTCAAAACTCCTCTGTGTTCTGAACTTAATCTTGTCTCTGGGTTAAACTGGCTTGCAGTTGGTCTGAGGCCCATTTCCGTCTAAGTGACCCAGTTTCCCCTGAACCTGTCCTCTATGGTGGCACCTGGACATTTGAAAGGAGACTGGAAGGGAGCAGGAACAAGTGGGTACCCCCACCCTGTACCCCCATACCTCCTCTGTGTATAGGAGGCTGTGAGTCACTGAAGATCCCTGGAGAGGCCTGCAGTGCCAAGATTCAAGGCTCTTTAAGTCCCTCAACATCAGAAGAACTGGCAGAGGGAAAGGCTGCCACTAGCCTCTCCACCCAGTGGGAGAGGAGTTTCTGAAGCAAAACACAGGAGGCCATCTCTACCTTTCCCCAGGCTGCTGAGAACAAGGAGAGAGCCCCTGGACAAGGCCTCAACACAGCCATCTTTGTTTACAAGGTGTTCCT